GCACAACTTGCGCGAAAGAAGGCTAGCTGGAAAAAGGTATGGTTTCCTAAGTAGCGTCGCACCAGTGAGGCATCGTCTCTGGTGAATCATCAGCGATCAACTCCGTGATATTTTTTCGCCCATCTCCGATGGAGGGTCTGTTACGTTTAAGTGAAACAGGTGCAGGCGTGTTTCATGAGCCTGACAGGATGCAGAGTTGAAGCACTTTAGCTGTGCGTTATCCGGAGTGTTATCTCCGTCATAGCTGACCGGCGCGAGTAAGGTGCAACCGAGGGGTTGACCAAGAGCGATAGCATCTATATCATGCCGTGATGCTAGTTCTGCAACATCGATGTACGAGCGCAGTCGGTTCACCACTCTAGACGGGCGTTCGGAAAGTTCCTTGTACGTCCAGCCATACGCTAAGAAACCCTGAAGAATCAATGCTGTTGCCACCTTGTCCAGTGAGCAGCCTTTCTCCAGGATTTCAGGCCGCTGCAACCTGAGATATTCCAATAGAAGAGAGACATCTCCCTTACTTAGTTTTCTTTCCCACCTGTTTCAATCTAGTCAGTTTCTTGCAAATGTCTGGAAGGCGTACAACACACTTACACTGTGTTTATCTGGCTACCAAGCATGAGCAATAGCCCCGGGCCGGCATCCATCAGAATTTGCATGTACCTTTGGCCAGCCTTACGATCGGCTTTTACAGCGCCTATGGAGGCTGATATGCTTGCTGCCTGCAAAGACAAAGCGGCAGACTTTCTGCCACGGCCACGGGATAAGCGGAGGAGGTCAGAGGTCGCCAACTGTTCAAGATCATGATCCAAGAATATGTGAAAGAGGCGACTTGCACAATCATAATCATCGCGGCCACGCTTCACCCGAAGAAAACCATGAAACAGTCTCTGAAAGCGAGCGACTGGACTTGTACCAACGCCGGAGAAAATCCTTTCCCGAGTGGACCAAAGATTCGCGTATGTTGCTCCATCGAGTTCCATGGCATTGATTAAACCCTGGAGCGCCCGGGCTAGATAGGTTGCCCTTGAGTTTCGAGATCCCAATCTGGCCCTGAAGAAAGCCGCCGCATTCGTATGGTTCTCCAGAGGAGCATAGGCCGCATCGGTAGAGCCGGTCTCAACCACCCCGTCTGGCTGGGAGGAAACGGATGGAGACAGTTCAGAAGCAACCAGCGAGAAGTTGGGTGTCTCCGATTCCTCTGGAGTGGAAGGGAAACAAGTCCTCTGTTCCAGACCAATCACAACAGGGCTTGATGCAGCTTCAGCTATGAAGGGGGTGATATCAAGCGAAAAAACTTGTTGACAAGATTCCATAGACCTTTCTACTTCCAAGGCCATGGTAGCTGCCCCTTCCTGATATGATGGCGAGTCGAAGAGGATCCGTCGTTCGGTTTCTGTGCATTGGAACACAAAGCCGCGAAAGCACCCAAGTAGACCCTTATAACGACACTCAGATATAGGAAATAACACAACAGGGTGCCATACTGACCGGTGAGTTGACAATAAGAGACGGAGGAATTGTCCGGAGCATCCAGGCTATAAGTTGTTCGTTGGTTTCGTAATCCATCAGAATTGGGGACCTGCTAAGCCGTACAAATCAAACTCAGGGGCGAAAAATTCCGGGAGAGATAGCCAGAGTCACAATGTCGGCATTATATTGTTCTTGGATTGAATTATTGGCACAACTTTCAGAGACAACGACACCAAGTGAGAGAGGGACAATTCCTGGCCGATTTAACGAAGAACAAAGGGGTACTTATTCCCCCACCGCATCCCTTTATTCCATATCAATGTGAAACTTATATAAATGCACATGTGGAGTTGCAGCTTTGGCTGGAGCTCACAGGTTGCGTTGTTTAGATTAAAATCCTGGTATTCAAACATTCCCGCTACATTCGGTGGGATCAAGCCAAGTGGAGTTCTTGCATAGAGTTTCCAGTACTTCGCCCGGCTGACTGCAGAAAACGCAGAATTTATGAGTCAAAAGACCTGAATATTGTCCATAGTTGTCAAAGAATGACTAAAGTGGGACGAAATACTTAAAGACAACAGCAGAAATGCTTCGAGGGTAGCGAGCGACGTGTGGGAAGAAAAGGGGCAAAAAGACAGGAACGAAAAATGGGGCTGAGAAACTCCATTTATCTCTGAAGGAGTAGCGGCCAATGGCACGGAGGGCAGTGTGGGTAGACTTGGGCGGCAGACAGAGTTGAGAGTGCTGAGAGTCTACAGTGTAGGAAGGACTCGAGAGGCCAGGGATCGCCGGTCACTCGGCCCGCAGCACTGCCGTTCACCAAAAGCTTAATTTTCCAAATGAGCTTTTTCTCTTTTTCTTCCGTGTACGTGATTCCCCAGTGGCGCTGTTAGACTTTACATGCCCAAGACCGCCGCACGACAGGGAATACCATATGGTATTCGATAGAATCATTACCATTGTAGCTGTATTTATTTGTAATTCTATTAACGTTGAGCTGAAACTCTAAGTTAACTATTCTCATTGATGACTTGGGGAATAACTCGGGCCTGTTTTGAAGCCAAGATTCATAGAAATTGTACTGTTCCTCGGTATGACGCCACGAATTCCGGACCGCAGTTTCTAGATGCCAATCCAGTGCTAGATGATGCTAATGGTCTGGGCCAGTAGTCGATTACCCTCCTCTAGTCTCTGCCTGATGAGGTCGAACGTTTTCGGATCTGCTCGATAATTGTCATACTGAGTTCTTCCTCGACGTGATCAGCATAATTTCAACAAGTCTTCTTTGCACACTTCCCACTATTACTATCGCTAGCGCAGCATGCGAGGCATTGAGTAGAGATATTTACTGCACCAAAGCTCTTAGTTAATTTTCGCCCATAGTTCCGTTGATGGGTGTCGTGTGTCAAGTGCGGCTGCTGACCTTGTATTTTATCGCGGAGGCGTTGAAATGGCATGTTAAACTCTAACTCTAACGCCAAAAGTTTGGGTTGAGGGCGAATACACGTAAAAATAACGAAAGTGAAAATTTCCATCGTTGAGCTAGTTACTATTGAGCCTATGTAGACATATATGGCAAGGAGGTGCGAGGTTAATAGAGACGGGGATTGCTTTCCTTAGCTTAGAGCACAATCGGTATAGCCGAGCCTGTAAGCCAGGTATTCAGTTGATTGTTTCCTACCTCCCGTTGTCTGAGACAAATGCCTCAAGGTAAGACTAAAACGGATAAAGAAAGATATCCTAGTTTCCTCTTCCGCCAATTAGGACAGTTATGCCGCCTTGATATTACTTTACGGAAGGCCTTTTGGCAACACAGGATACCACCTTTCTGTTGCAGTTAACCCTTTGTGGAGACGGTCCTTTTAGGTATGTAGAAGTTGAACTCCAGTTATCTATGAAACCGCCTCTTAAACTTAATATGTACTGGCCCCAATATTGTCAGGGGTTTGGCGCCCCCTGGCGCGAGTACTTGTTGCTAGGGAAGTAACGGAGGTCAAATACTTCTGTTACACCACTGTACAATCAAAAATTCTTGATGGGAGATCATCCGAGCCGAGGTTTAACTTTAATCTCACTTCTATCCAGGTATGATGTTGTGCCCCTCCTTATCGTCGGTGATTTGCAGGAATCCCATAGGCTACTTCAATTGTGGTTACTACCCCAGGAACGACACAATAATTGCGCCGCGGCTTGCTCCACAATACCCGCTTACAAGATGCATACGGCAAGTAGAACTCACGAATACGGGGCATAGTTAACGATTTGGAAACCAACCGATGGATCTTCCAATGCGGCAGCATTTCGGGTGTCGGGATTGGATATCTCCACATTACCAAAACTCATGCGATGATGTAGAGTAACAGTTTAATTCTCAGTCACGGTCTCTTTTGATAGTTCGTCAATCATGCCAGTTGGTTCCCTCAGTGCTAGGCTGTAATCTGCGATGGGAATGGGGCAACTACCTTTCGACTTGTAAAGTTAGTTCGAGTCGCTACAGAACGGTTACATAACTTACCCGAATATGACAGACGCAGAGAATCTCGGAAGGTTCACGGTGGGCGGGGTTGAGACAAAATGGGCTGGGTCACTGTACCTTAGTAATGTGTTTAATATAATGCCGCCTCACTCCTAGCGCGCCTCCCGAATCCATTCGCTTCCACTTACAGATGCTGCTCCACAACTGTGGGCGCGTGCTTACTAGGCATCATTCCGACTCGAATCAAAGGCCCGTAGCCGGCCAATAGAATGGCGAGTATTTTGAATAAGGTGTGTAGGACCTGTTGGCTTCTTGGCAATTTTGCTTACGGTTACGGAGTACGTACGCGGTGGTGACCAGTAAGGCACACAAAAGGGTCTCTCCGTACCGAAAAGTAAGAGAGATGCCTTATCTGCGTTTCCTCAATTTTCATCGCGCCACCCATTGGTCTTGGTCGCAAGATCTGCGGATCCGTTACCTAAAACTGAATATATATCCACCCGAAATTCCTCTAGAACTCAATGTTATGCCGATGGAGAAATTTCGGCCGGATAAATAATCTGCTCTAATTAGCTCCGCACTTTCATGAAGCTCCAGTGGTGCGTCAACCGGGCTTACCTTTGCTCCTGAACTTTATTTAAGATGAATCGAGCCTTTCGGGGCGTCCGAAGGCTGCTAACTGTGTCCCTTTTGCCGGACCCAACAGGGGAATTGCATACAAGGTTGACTGTAATCTTAAGAAACCCCATATTCACTAAATTATGAAAGGGTCGCATTTGCACCAGTTTCGAGGACAGTATCGCCCGGTTACTTTTGTTGAACCGTCCACTCATTCCTTGTTCCTGTATACTTACCTTAGTCATTCCCTGAACTGATCATTTCAAAACGGAGGCCTCGCCTAGAACACCACTGTCGCAAATTGCGTCTCAGCTCCCTTTCCACTTTTCTCGTCGTTGTTGTCAGTGCCTTGGGCCAGCATGAGAAGCCTAGACATTATCATAGATATGGCAAGTTTGAAATCTCTTGCGGGCACCGCGGTGGAATCCACGGTGGGATGAAAGCCGTTGCCTACTTCGGCAACTGGGTACGAGCGAACTCACGCTGAACTTTCATTCCCCGACGAATTTTTAGTTTAATAGTACTTTCGCGATACATACAGGATATCTACGGAGCCAACTACTTCATCACCGATGTTCCAGCAGAGAACTTGACCCATCTTGTCTATGTTTTCGCCAACGTCAACACTACTACTGGCAGCGTGTATGAACACATCAACGTCTTTGGAGAGTAGGCCTAGCTAAAAGACATTATACATAGGATATTGAGTGACACTTGGGCCGATCTCCAGTATGCGTACCCTGGAGATAATACCACTGCGCCGGGAGAAAATGTATGTGGGAATATCAAGCAGATGTTCCTGTTGAAGAAGAAGCACCGCCATCTCAAAACTATGCTTTCCATCGGTGGGTGGAGCTACCGCGAGAATCCTCCCCCCCCCCCCACCTTTCTTTATGCTTGTATCTAGCACCAAGCGGCGGAATTTTGTTGATACGGCCGTCCAATTGGTCGCAGATCTCGGCTTCGATGGAATTGATATCGATTATGAGTACGTCGCAGACCACAGTCAAGCGGCGCAGATGGTCGATTTGCTTAAGCGTCTGCGCCAGAGTCTGGACCAACTGGCAGAGAAGACAGACGCTACATCCCCATTCCAGATCAGCTATGCCTCTCCAGCGGACAAGGACAAGGCTGTCATGTTACACCTCACTAGCATGACCCCGTATCTCGATTTCTACACTGTTATGGCTTTGGACTACATGGGACCCGGATTCAGCAATTACTCTGGCTACTTGTCAAACTTGTTCCCGGATGTCCGCAATCCACGTGCAACTATTATGATACAAACTCGAGCCTTGATTTTTACATGTTTAACGGTCGGGTTCCACCCAACAAGATCGTTCTGGAGAACCCGCTGTACGGTCGTGTCTTCAATGGCACTAATGGCGTGGGCGATAAGTTCTCCAATGGCGGCACGCAGGGCAGTCTTGGTACCGCTGGGCTTTGGAATTACAACGCGCTTCCCCTACCAAAATTCGACGTAAAGGTTGTTAACGTTCCCCGTGTCGGCGGAAGCTACAGCTACGACGCCAAGCAGAAATACCTGATTAGCTATGATACTCCTGAGATAGCTGCCCTGAAGGCTGAGTATGTTCAGTGTTTGGGTCTTGCTGGCACCGCCTGGTGGGAAGTTAGCATGGACCGAAACGATACTCTGAGTCTCATCGGCACCACTGTCTCTCTGTTTGGAGGCGCTGGCGCTTTGGATCAGTCTCTTCACAACTTGAACTATCCCACCAGCACATATGTTAATCTGAAGGATGGCTTCTCTGGCAATTAAATCAGCCACCATGTTGAGGAATTTCAAAATGGGTTTGGTTGACTAACTGCAAGGTTTTCTAATACCAGGCATGACCAGCCACCCTACTGATCTTGTGTGTTCTCCGCCTTGTTCGACCTGGATTCTATGACGTCTAGTCGCTTTCCAGCCTTTCATTAATCATTGCAGTGAGGATTTTTCTCATTTATCATTTTCTGCTTTCCTCTTTTGTACGTGTGCCTGAAGGTAATCACAGTCACAACCAGTTTCGGGCCTTTTACAAGCCCTTCTGGCCCTATCAGATCTTTCCCTCCTTCAATCCCCATGGCCGCCATTGTCTCTTCTTACTAATAGACTGCTCAATCAACTTTGTTAGTTCGGCTTTTCTATTTTCTCTTCATAATCCTTGCTGTTTCCCATGTGTTATTTGTCGCCTCTCCCTCGTCCGCTCGGGGGGCACAATTAGTGTTGTTTTTAGCACATGCAATTAGTGGATTCTAACGGGTTGAAGGATTCTCGTGCATGCTAGTACTGAAGGAGCCAATTAATCGATTTTATTGAAGAATTAATTACCAGGTCGCTGTTGAAGGCGTCTCATAGCCTTCGGGGCTATTCGGGCGTGTTACGATGCCGATATCCCAAACTGGCCCTTTTTACCATACAAAACCATATGGAAAAGCAGGTACAGAGTACCCGGGTGGCCTTGGCGAGCCGTGTCAACGTCTAAGCGAAACAAATTTTGAAAAAGGAACATATCAAGCAGAATTAGCGATCTATTCATCCTGAATTCCTAATTATGCCAAGGAAGCCAATAAGTGGCAAGCCCAAAATCCTGTTGGCGGGCGACCAGGGTGCTGTCCAAGCCGGGCCGGGCTGCCTGTGGACGAGCCAAGGGCCACGGCGAGGCTTAGGCGTTATCCATGAATCCAATCGCGCATCCCCACTGCAGCCATACGCGCAAGTGTCTGAGTTATTCGGATCTTGACAGATCCAATTGCATGCAGTGCAGTGCTAAATGTAACGGCCAGCAAAGGATGAAATACAAAACATTCAGCTACAGGAAGGTTAATAACATACGGGTCCAGCATAATCACAATAAAGACACTGGCGTTTATCTAGAAACGCAGAGACGATAGTGGGAGAGGATTGGACTAGGGCAACAAGTACGGCGAAGACAGTTGCACAGGAAATCTTGATTGAGACCATTTTGATGTGGTGTTGTCGAAGAAAAAGGAGTTCACCAGAAGAAAACTGAAAAGACGTTCACAACTAGTGTCTGATTCGCAGAATTGTATACTAAAAGTGTATCATATCAGACAGCGCTTCTTCATGGGCCCTATCTTTGGTTCGGCTGTCCTCGGTCTTGTCCACTTGATTTGAAGCTGAGATGGTTATTGTTATTTTATTCGGCTAGAAATGACTGGACTTTCGCCTCACCTTCTCCTTGCACGCACACTTAAACTAACAACCTGGCCGTCTACGAAAGTACGGCTCAAGCAAGGCGAAACATCGGCTCCTCGGGCTCGAGAGACGCAGACGCCATCTGAGGACAGCGATGGTCACCCACTGGACGCCGGGGATCCGAGCCGCAAGCAAGCTATCCTATGAGGTTGTTCGAATGCCGAGAGGCAGACACTGCTATACGCTCCATTGGGTCTTCCATCAGGTAGGCATACCAGCGCATGATCTGATGAACAAAATCCACTGCGAGAAGGTCGAGCTCGCGATCATCGATACCATCGGTATTCATGTGGAAGAAACAGAGCATGCGATGGTGTTGATGCAGGGGAGGTTGAGCAGCCCAGACATTAGCTCGCTTCGCATACGAGTGTGAGAATCTGAGAGTGTCTTCCTGTGGTGAGATCCGAGTCAGCAAGTGTTGATCCAGTTTGACGAGGTGTTGTACTTTACGTTGTTGATGAAGAATCCCCCGAGCATACGCTTGAGACAGTTGGTCAATTAAGATCGTCATCCTACCAGCTTACCAACTAGATCACTTCCAATTGTCTTCTGCAATGCAGTCACCAATATGCCATGTTGTGTCCAGTTCGTCGCACTCTCCGGCTGTCGCTTCGAGAAGCCGCACTGGATGCACCGGGCAAGTTCATAAGATGGCACTAGCGCGCGACGAACCCACCTGTGACAAAAAATTGTACAGTCGTATTGGGAGACTGCTTCGTGTAGAGGCACTCCGTTGTCGACGGTGTGAGGCAGTGAGGAGGGCGTAAGACGCAATGGCGCGTCTGCCCTTTGGTCGTATCTGATTCGGCGCGAATAGTTTATTCGCCATAAGATTTTCGCGGTTGGCGATGGGCTGCTCCTACAACGGTATGGAAGTGTCAGTGGGGTTCGTGTCTGTGGCACAGACTTAGCAGAAAATCAAAACCGGCACAGCAGGAGGGGCGATATTCCACCCACCTCATCGCAGAGAACGAACGTTAGAGCTTATGTGTCCTGTTGTTGGTCCGCGACCTTGCTTTGCAGTCTTCACAGAGGACATGTTGCATGGTTTGAAATGATAGGGTAAGAAATGGCCTGTAAGCCGTGACTTTGCGCGGAGCACTGACAGTGCTGGGTCCAGCTCACTTTGGTGCGCTGTCAACGGTTTCCTGCCCATCATTAGCTTGTCGATCGGCGAGACAATGAGTGACTTACATGTTTTAAGAAAGACACAGGAAAGGGCTCCCTGGCTGGGGTATATTGGACGGAACGCATGGATCTTTCTTTCGCATCGTCTTTGAAGTCAGTCCAGTTTCGAAAATGGCCGCGCCGAAATCTACATACCTGTATGGAGATCACTTTCTTACGTCGATATTCAGGGCCGTGACGGGGGTCGGCTGCTATGGTGGACAGATGTTCGCATAGATACATCGACCATCTAACATGAATCTGCTTCTTTGACCGGCTGGCTTGGATGACATAATGGACCTGGTGGGGATCACTTCACAAGCACTTTCTAGCTTGTAGGCCCACGATGTATCCATAGATGTCAGTACAGTGGAAATTCCGGTAGGGATTAATGGAAGAACTTATCAGGCACCTCAAACGCAAGGCCTGCTCGACTTTGCGTAGCCAAGTGATAGAATTGTAGAACAAATTGCTGGAGGGGGAAGACGTATTTATAGATTTCTTGGCTCCTGTCGCGTACGTGCTCTGCTAAGTAGCAAACGTTGAAGGGCACGATGCCTATGCTAAGTGAGGTGTGTTGCAACCCATGCCTTCGTTCTACGGCAACTTTTTGCAGCAAAATCCTTGATTCCTTTTAAATGCCCACCGAGAGACGTGCTGGATTTGTGTTGAAAATGAGTGAAGTTGAGTCGGTTAAGAAACGTTGGCTCACTGTCAATTCTACGGTCTTCTATACTGAGGCACTGGGAGCTATTCAATATTTGATTCATGTTTTGATTATCTCATGCGTACTATTTTATAAATTTAGTTTACACCTCTTTGCAAAGATACAAAGCGGAATAAGTTGCTGTTCTGTTCACTGGTGTCGCTAATGCTGACAAGGTTGCTGTGCACCGAATATATATTTACTAGTAAGCAACCTCAGTGAATGAGCAACATCCTCAGAGAGATTGTGTCTTCACATTAAGCCGTGAGCCTGCATCGCTTCGCACTTGCAATGCTACGTCAGGTATCATGTCGTGCTGTTCTTGAGCCTGACCATCCTCTCGTATATCTGCTTGAATTTTCGCTGGCTATTTACGACACGGAGTTGAGAAGCTCTAGCACCGCTTCTGTCCGTGCCAATGGTAGTGGTGTCAGGCCGTACTCATCCTTCAAGTCCGCCCTAACATCATTTCGCTCAACCAGTAGCTTCACCACTTCTTCATGTCCACACTTAGCTGCCAGTGACAGCGGCGTCAGACCATAACTATCTTTCGTGTCCGCCTCCACATAATCCCGCCACAGTAGCAGCTTCACCACTTCTCTATATCCACCCTCAGCAGCATGCGACTGTGGGGTTCGACCATCGTTATCCCCCGAGTCCGCCTTAACATCATCTCGCTCAACCAGTAGCTTCACCACTTCTTCATATCCGCACCCAGCTGCGTACGATAGTGGTGTTCGACCATTCTTGTTCTTTGGGTCCACTTGAGTACTATTCTTCGCTAGTAGCAGCTCTTTCAGTCTGCCCTCAGCTTCTTCTGCGAGAAGGTGTAAGACTGTGTTCCCTTTTTCATCCTGAATAGAAGTGTGGCGGAATGTCAGGACTCGTACGAGGTCAGGAATGGCGTGTAAGAGTGATAATTGGTCACGAGGGTTGAGATTCTCCGCCGTGAGGAGAATGATCTCTCGCGGGACATAAGCGCGGCCTCGTGGCTTTCTCATCTTTCAGCGCACGACAGATACGGAAAGATAATAAAAAGCCCACAGTAGTCTGGCCTTGTAATCTTGCAGAGCCTTCTCTTCGCAACTCTTGGAGATGTCGTCAGCCTTGAGAGCTGTTGGAGGAACAAAGTGGTTGTCAGCAGAGGTTCTGGGCATTCGATTTTTTCATATGGTTGTATCCCTGCTCACCCTAGATACATCCTCCATTCCAGTTGCTCTAGATCACAGATACGGAGAAACTTGGGGCTGGTGATACGTACTTAGGGGCGGGCTCTGCTTGAGCTTGTCGACCTTGGCAGAGTCCTGTACTTCGTTGTCAACGTAACTCGCCTACAGTTTCCGCAAAGAGCATAAGACTCCGAGATGCTCAAGCTGATTAGAGATAGTATTTAGTGGTGCGCAAGCGGAGCGTGTAAACCCTCTCGCTCACCCAAATCAGGCTTGTCAAAATGGAAAATGTTGTCATGCAACTCAAGTGGAATAAAATGATCAGTCCAGTTGGCTATCATACAGTGGTTAATGTCAATGTCTTGATAGGGCTTATCGTGTTGAACTAATGAAGAGCAGCGAGTATCTTAAGCTTTCCTATGTAGAAGCTCAGATTTCATGACGCAGAGTGAATTCATCTGGAGAAACTAGAAACGTAAGAGCTACAATACCGGCTCTCGATGCAGAACGAAATAGCA